GAATATTAATGACTAAAGGAATAGATTTGAAAATGTATAGTAAAGAAACACTCAGCCATGCATGACATAACATAGCAAAATAATACGGATCATTTTTGACCCATGTTGTGAAGTGTAGTGATACAAACATGATTTGTATTCAAAAAGTAAGAAAGGAAAAATTAAAATTTGGTGTTGATCCAAAACAGGTTAATTGAGGAATACCTGGAATCCTGAATGATTAAAGTAATTTATTGCAAAGATATTTACAATTAAAACTAATTCGGGTCACTTTTGACGCATGTTGGTTGTATGTTGTGTAACAAAGGGTTAACATGACAGCTGTGATGTTCACTCTTTTGACAGAGCACCAGTGGACAGTAAAGACTATGGAAGAGAAGATGTGATGGCTGTGTGGAAAGCTGCTGACGCCAGCCTGTGTCACTCATCAGTTTCTCCAGGCAGCACCCAGCTATTCTTCCATCTTGCAGATGAAAAGACTTTGATATGTGAGTAATAACTTGTGTCTAACATAATATTCAATGTGGTTTAGTAAAGTATTTAAAAATACCCCACATTGTACATGTACAGGACAATCAGACCTTTTTCAACAAAGATCATCAGACAATTGTTTTGTCTTTTGAGGTACAGCCGCAGCAGAGAGTCTGAGTTTGAAGAAAACCCTACAATTGTATTCAGTGTTGTTTAATCAATCAATATTTACTGGTCTTGAATTTCCTCACTGGATTACAAAATGCTCGAATCTTATTGTACAGGGACATTATGCAGATTTCATCAACTGAAGATGAAAATATAGATTCAGCGATATGTACCATTTTAAGGAAATAGACTGTTAGCGGTATTGACCGAAGCTCCGCAGCTGTAGCTAAGCGCTGCTAATGAAAACTCAAGTGCTCAATTTGTTGGTTTTTCTTTTTTATTAAGAATTGACCAAGCATATCTTCCTCTTCGAAATCCCAGTTGTACTTCGCTAACACGCAGTGCCTGCGAGAGTGCGTTTGATTGTTCCCACCCTTACCTCATTTATGGACTAGGTCATGTTAGACAAGCAATCCAGTGGTTAGTTTTAGGGTAAGCTCCATTGTTTGTTTTTTTATTTATTCACTTTAAGAGAAAGGAATTTCAGAAACAAGTCTCACAAGTTTGCCTCGAGGTAACATTAACAAAAGCTAACTGTTGTTAGACTATGTTCCCCCCTTCTAAACTTATGAAATGAATGAGAAAAATATGAACAACTCTTCATAGAGCCACACCCACACAGCTTTAAAGTTGTAGGAAGCTGAAGCATTGCATTCGTGCCAGCACCTAGTTGTAGTTTCTAAGGTATTAGAAAGTTGTTTTTTCTGGAAGGGGTTTAGCATTTGATCAATTCCCTTGGGATGCTATCAAGAACTGTTTTACAATCAATAGTGTGTTTAAGTTTCCAACCCTGCTTCAAAGGTCCATCATACAAGATGGGGGATCTATTGGCAGCTGCTGATAATAACATTCATCATTATGGTTTACTAATTGTTGTCTTTTTGTCCTCTAGGTTGCACTGCCACATCTACAGTAGCGCAGAATGGACAGAGGAAACATGATTGGGCCTCAAGTTTTTTGCAGCCAATATACATTCTCCTACAAACTTGGGATAGGAGGGTGAGTGAACAAGTTATCCATTGGTTGGAACCTACCATTGTTAGACGTACTAAATCCTGCACACTGCTCCTTCAAATGGACAATGTGAACATATGTCGCCATTTTGTAATTTCTGTTATTTTCAGTTGAGAATGTTTCAAAGTCATCTTAAAAAATTAAACTTACTTTTTGTTTATACTGTTTATAAGTAGATGTTTAAATATTAAATGCTGTATTCATTAATGGTTGTATAATTCTACAAATATTTTTATATTTTAAGTTTTAACATTTTTATAGTAATTGTTCCCAACAGAACATTTTGTGCTGTCTTTTTATTGAACGTCTTTGATTGGAAAATGTTAGAAAAAAGCTGTAAAATAACAGTATTCTACCTGTAGAACTTTAGGTTCTGCATTTACTTTTGTGTTTGATCATAAAAATCTAATAAAAAAAATGTAAAAAACTGTTTTTCTCATCAGAACTTTATTTAAGGTATTTGAATGTAACATTTTAAGACAATGGATTTTGAAAAGAGAGGAAACATCTGTAACACTACAGTGTTTTCCTGTAAAATCTTTAAGGACAATTCCTGTTTATTAATTGCTTTAGCACTTTATTTCAGTGAAAGTATTTTACTTTAATTTAAGGGTTTTTGTTTGGCAAGTTTTCTTTTTTACAGTGTAGCCTATTTGATTTGACCCAACTGGACTCACGGGTGAGATGCTTTTTGTGCATTTTTGCTTGCTGTATGTGGATGACGTGATTAGTCACGTCATCCAATAGTATTTGACAGGAAACCATTGTATGAGCTTCCTCCAGGAAGTACCGGAGCTGGGGACTACAGTTATGCACGTCTATCATTGTAAATTGATAGTAAATTGCTGGCTACTCATCTGCATTACTTTCACAGTACACATTGTACATTCACAGTAAATTACTGGCAACTCTTTTGCATTACTTTCACAGTACACATTGTAAATTCACAGTAAATTACTGGCAACTCCTGCATTGCTTTCACAATAGAAATGTAAAAGTACAGGCCCTTGTTGTAATGCATGTACAACAAAATGATGTAATTCCCCAGTAACATACTGTAATATCACAGTAATTCCTTAGTCATTGAAGCTGTGAAGTTACAGTATACAGTTTTACCTTTACAACAATGCATTGTAATATCATGGGTGTGAAATTACAATACATTACTGTGAAGACATTCACAGTAAATTGCTGTGAATCTTACTGTGAAAGTCATGCAAAATTTGGCCAAGTATTTATTGTGAATTCACGGTGAATATTTTTACAGTATAGGCCTACTGTTTATCTAACCATTAAACTACAAAGTAAACCCTAATGATGTTTTATTAGCTGTAAATGAAGCCATTAATTACAATGCATACCTTCATTATATAAACCCTCATAAAGGCTGTCTTTTTAGAAAGTGTCACCATTGAAAACATCTTGAACAATCTTACTTATTCCATTCAAGATTATTATTGCAGCTGCTTTTTATGCTTTTCTTGAGCAGCTCCTTCTTCAAATATGACCATTCAGATATATGACTAAATGGAAATAGGCCTACTTAAACAAAGTGACAATGCCCCTGCTCTGCTGCGGGCTTTCCCCTCTGAGCTCAGCAGCCAGTCTGGAGCGACACATGCGGTTGTGGTGGAGGTTTGGCTCTAAACGTTTTGGTGTGATCTGGCTTCGGTCTATGATAATGAAATAACATCCCTCCAACCCACCAAGTATGCTCAGAGTCAGCCGGATATCCTCAATAGGTGTGCATTTAGTGATGATAAATATAATAATGTATGTCCAAAGATAGATAGACGGACAGATTATGCCCCCAGTCCACAGCCCAATACGACCCCCTGAGATGGGCTGATGTTAGCAGATGTAGCAAATCATCTTCCAGCGCGTAAAGAACAGAAGGGCACAGCGTGGACCGCGACGCGTCGGGCCGTAGCGACAGGCGACTCGACGTACCAACACAAACGAACCCAAAACTTCAAGGACAGATGCCATTCTCTCGGTGTGTTATCTCATGTTCTCCTACCACATGGGAATGCAATTTCATGCCTGAAAGCAGCACGTTAAACGCGTTGTAACGCAAGATGAGAACCAATTACGCATGGAGATTTGAAAGCCAGATTCTTAGTTTTTGAATCGTCTTTTGCGAGATTTTTCATTTTCTTAACTAATTTGTCCAGTTTTTGGGAGTCCACAGTCCTCATTTGCCCTTCCTTGGCCTTGCCATAGGCATTTGTGGAATTAGATTTGTCCCCTATTTCAGGTTGGAATTAAGCCTTTATGATAAAACCTTTACAGGTTATAAAAACAAGAAATTGAGCCCATACGTTTCTTTAAAAAAACTGATGAATTAATAAAATGGGTAGCATATAATAACGATCCCGGTGCTTTGCTGCTTGTTGGGAATAGTTGTATAACGGCTGTAAAGCTGAATGAAAAACATGTGGGCTGCAGAAGAAAGGACGAGCTACAGGAGATAGACTATCGTCAGTTATCTGTTAGAACCGGCACGGCCGTTTAGCGCATAAACTCTGCCGTCAAGCTAGATGTGAAATAGTAGCCTACCAATAGTTCCGGTTAAAACTCAACTTTCAAAATAAAACAAAGGGACAACGTATGCAACAAATATTAAGCCTTGATATCCGAAACGGACCCTGTGTTACTGATTCGTGAAGGTTGTGAAGTCACATCATAGCCTACACTGTAAAGAAAGAATTGAGTGTGACAGCTGAAGATAAAAGGCTCTCCACAACAAGTTTACTGCCATTGCCAAGGTATAACAATTGGATACTCCTGTAGGATGGACAGGGTATGAAGGTTATGGTGAAGGTTGGGTAAGTAAACACACACACAACAGGTTAAGGCTAGGGTCATTGTTGGAAAATGCAACACATGGTAGGACAATGACATTGGAGTCTCAAACACTTGAATCAGATTTCTTCAATTAAGCTTGCAACAGTGACCCAGCCAGAACCTTTGATGAACTGCATCTTGTGTTTTATAGATTTAATTTGAAAATAAAGTTCATCATTTTAAATTGGCAATTTACATTAATTTGATTAAATAAAATGGGCAACTGAAAAAACATGTTTTTGAAAAGGTGTTTTTGTTTAAGTTTAGGATATTTTACGTATGTAAATGCGATTAACTGTTGGTGTAATTCAGCTCTGATAAAGAGAAGATGATTATTTTAGGGGCGGACATAGCAACAGAGAGTGATGGCGATGAGGGGGGACCGCAAACAGCTGGAGAGAGGCTCCGAGCTGCTTTTATTTTGAAGGTAGGCTGTATTTATGCGTGTGTGTGCAGTTTGAATTGATTGGAAGGAGCTACAGGTCAGCCCGTTGCGCACATTACGGCACACACAGACAGAGCGCACCCCAACTGCGTGGATGGACGGAGCAACTTAAGGACTTCCCTTCCTCACTCTTAAGGCACATTTATGATTGGATGCCTACCGGCTCGGCTTTTCTTCTCATTTATCAAGGGCTTTTTACAACGTGCCAAAACTGAGCGGATATTGCTTTTGCGCATCACGGGAGCTGGAACAAAAGGGACTCTTCAGGTGCGTGTGTAGCCATATGTGTGTGAGTGTGTGCGCTCCTGGGTCTACATTTTTATTTTCCTCTTGCTCTCACACGTGTGATTTTGTGTCTGGCGCAGGGAGCTGGTAGCCTTTACTTGTGCAGCAGAAGGTACTTTCACTTTCGTGTTAATGTTTTATTACAAGCGGCTTTCCATTTATGGGGTGATGATATGGTTCCACTGGTGAAATAAACCGTGCTGCAGAGCCTGCAGAGAGTTGTGCGACCAGCAGCCACTTAATAGAGTTTCCTGAAGCTATATAGACCATGAAGTATAAGATGAGAGCTTAGGCTATGATCCCACTGCCTTACAATAAGAGGACCGCTAGAATAAACACCCGCGTCAAACAATTCCAATACACCGAGAGTGAACGTTGGAGGGAAAGAGTGCAGGTTTCACAATTTGGAGTTGTGCAGCTCGTTGAAATGACTGAGACACCAACCTTTTAAGAGCTGCTTGAAACAGGTGTTGATTAGATCAGTATAAAATGCGGCTAATAAAGCGTAAATGTAAAGACTCAGTGGGCAACATGGTTTCCAGCCTATACTGTAACTGTTAAATTACAATAGAAGGACCTATTCCCTAAAGTAAGACTATACTTCATGCAATCAAAGGTAGGCCTACTTCACGCTTTCCAACAAGCTCATTTGTCCAGAGCCAGTGAGCATTTTCCCGTTAAAAATTCGTATAAAAACTGACCATTGCCCCTCAAAAAAGGAGCTCAACATCTTCACATTTAGACGGTTTCCCTATAAAAACATCCATCCTCTCTACATTGTGCTTTAAAAAAGCGTTTTGTCTTTTTGCAGCCTCACTTAGAAACCCCAACCACATTTCCCATCTGACTGCCCTAATTGATAAGGAATCAAAAGTTCACATTGGAAAGCGATTTAAACGGCATCAACATATTTAAAGCTCTGTTAAACTAAAAAAAAGCAAACTGTGAAAACGCTCTTGGATGGCCACAACTACAACTTTTATGCATAGAAACAACCGTTTTTAAAGACACATAAAACAGGATACTGCAAGTGTATAGGCTACAACAAGAACAATTTTCCCTAAACACAATGACAGAGTAATAAAAACACATAATTATTGCAAGGAAAACAAATAATGAAATATAGTAGGCTAGTCTAAAAAAATCTCCCTTTCCAGTGTTTTTTGTGAAACACATCACCAGGTGATCCTCCCACCCCCTTGCTTTCTGTAGTCTAATTATTTTCCGATATGCAATACGCAACCCGCACCGGAATGGCCATAAAGAGATAACGCAATATATCCCGGCCACAATTATCTAATTTGTGGCTCGATATAAACGGCACAGCTTGAGCCTGTAACGCATGCGCATTACACCACCAAAACCAATTTGACTTTTAGAACTGCTCTGCATTTGATTTGCTTATCTTCTTTTTCGAAGGACACAGCCTACTGTACACGTCCACATTTATGACATTTGATATGCCAGTGCAACTATAAACTACTATAAACTATAAAGACATACCTTCACACTGATCAATATGGGCTATTAGTGTTTCCCTGTGTTTTCCTTTGACTTTGTGCACTTTCAGAGCAAATTCTAGATCTCTGTAGAACTCTGTGCTCTTGTAAAAAAAATTGTGCTTTTTACAACTGAACAAATTATCAAAATGATTCATCAAATAAGTGTTTTTTTACACATTGATGTTGTAATCGCGTTTTGGCTTTAGAAGTAGAAGAGGGAAAATCACTGATTTGCCAACTATAATTTAATGTTGATTTTCTATTGGAGTTAAATGAGCATTTTTCCAGGGTATGCAACACATGCAGATATTTCAGCTGGGGTCAGGTTCAGGTTTAGAACTAGGAAGAAGATTATACATGCAATGTTGGATGGATAAGGTCAAGGTCGGCAGGATTTTAGACTGTTGGCGGCTTAGGAATACTGAATAAAGCCACAGGTGTTAAAATGATCTGGTGCTCCCAGTAAAAAATGATGACACCTCTTCCGGGTTTTAGGACGCGTCACTGTGGCACTCTATTGGAGAGTAGTCAGATTTATGCACACATAAACACACGTTTGATTCCCTGAGTTTAGCATCCCCCCCTCCCCCCCCCCTTGACAAAAAAACTAAAAACCTTGACATATTCAGATCCATGCTAACTAGCCTATAACTACTCTGCCTCCATCCTCTCTGCTGTACCCAACATGCCTTGTGATTTATTCAGAACATTTGCACCCTCTTTAGCCTTCGGTTGCAGATTGGTGCTTTCTAGTTTTCTTATTTTTCTAAATTGAGCACTTCAGCTCAGCCTGACACACTGCCTCTATACATGCATAAAGCCTTTTTCAAAATGTTGTAATTTATTGTTATTTTCCAACAACTATAGCTTTCTCCAATTCTTCGTGAGATGTCCACACATGATGTAATTAGAACCTACGCACGGTTTGATTTCTTCCGGCTGTGAACCCAACAGTTGGATTTAGACATTTCTTGATCCCTACACATTGGCTGCCTGCCACAAAGACTTAATTGAAACTGTGGAGAGCTGGAAAGAGTTTGACAAAAGATAGATGAAGTTGGGGGGTATTAAAAAAAGAAGAGGAGGGAGGTCTTTTAATTTAGCTTAAATCTTTTAAGTGAGTTTTCCAAATCATTCACATTAACCAGTGAATATATAGCCTTGCTCCTATGTGTTTTCTGCTAAAACATGAGAAGCATTCTTGAGCGTTGCTGGATTTGACTTGAGATTCAAACTTGTTTTTAAACTGAAGGAACGCGATGGGTGTGTTGCTCTGTAAGTCTCTGAATCATGTGGGGAATGCCTGTGCTCTCCCTGAAAGCTTCTAATATTCTGCTCAACGGGGATAGACACATATTGGAAACACCTTTAATATGTCACGTACTCCAGTAAGACACCACAAACGACAGCCTCCAAAAAATCCCAGAAAGGACAAACTCTCTGAAGGTGGGAACTTGATACATGTGCCTTTTATCTTGATGGTCTTTATGATATGTCTGCTGCCTGCTGTGAAGTTGCACTGAGCTCAAGAGTTACATCTGAAATGACCTTATAGTTGGTCAGTCGGTGCAAGTCTATATTTTGGAGGGGATAGGGCAGACATATTGTATAAATTAGGGGGGTGTTGTTTAACCATATATGTGAAGATGATGCCTGAAAGTAGGTCCGAGTTTAAAATGTGCCAGTGAGGCACTAGATCTTATGCTACAAAATCATAACTGAGAAGAAGTGACTGTAAAGATGGAAGCTGTCTGTGCTCAGTTGAGTTACATGTAATTATCTGCACTAGGGCTGCTCGATTATGGCAAAAATCATAATCTCGATTATTTGGGTCAATAATTGATATCACGATTATTAAAAACGATTATCCATTTACTTTGAAAACATCAATTTATTGGAGAAAAAAAATGTGAACAGTATGTTTTTAACAGTTGATTACCCTGAACTTTAAAGGTAGGGTAGGTAAGTTTGAGAAACCGGCTCGAGATACACTTTTTGTTATATTCCATGGAATGCTCTTAACATCCCGATAGCAATGAATATCTTAAGTGCTTTGACAAAAAATCCATAAAAAAATTTCATCTGTGGAAGCCGTAGTACTGTAAAAAACACGACCAATCATTTTAGCCGGCCCGGCTAAAATAACTGGATGGCCTACCTGCCTGTCAGCCTTCCATCTGTGCACAAACTTATCTCGTGCCCTCATTGGTCATGTGCGCGTTCGTGTGTGTTGGAGGAGGGGCTCTATAAGGAAGTGGCAGATTTTCTCCGGTTGTGTATTTTCAAATTCTAGCGATCTCGAGCCGGTTTCTCAAACTTACTTACCTAAAAAAAAAAAAAAATTTGAAAAAAGAAAGTAATAATAATAATAAAAAAATTATTGTTTTATTTCGATTACGTTGTTTTCGTAATCGTTGCAAGCCATAATCGTAATTGCGATTAAAATACGATTAATTGAGCAGCCCTAATCTGCACTGGCGCTTTGCAGATTGCCTAGTTTAATTAGTCATGTGCCACGAATGGACACCAAGGCCTTGAGTGATTTCCAGTTTGTGGAGTAGTTGTTGCCTCAATGGTCCACTGAAACACTGAAATTCAAAGTATACTGAGAACATACATGAGATTTAGGTTAGGTAAATTCTTAGTTGAAATATTTATTTCCAAATGTAGAATTTCGGGTTACTAATTACAAGGTTGGGCCTTTCTTGGATCAGGGATTACGATTTACCAGGAATGCTGAGATTGTACTGTGCAGATGTACAGTAGATATCAGCTGAAAACAAATAGAAAGATAATATGACAGTCTCACTATAGTGTAAGAGCGCCTCAGGATATCTGTAGAAAGGATCTCACACACAGTGATTCATCTGCGTCTTTCCAAATTTCCTCACACCCTTGTCATGACTGGAGGTGTTTTGAAGATGAGTTTGAATGGATGCAAGTGTGGTCACAGCTAAGGACTGAGTAGTTTTCCCCCCTACACCTAACATTGTAGTTCTGTTGCCAACATCTGAATACATTTTTTTAGCTTTCACTTTAAAGCTTTATAGGATATTTTTGGTCCGTGTGACGCAGTAGTATGGTGAAGATAACCATTCATAACGCAGATTTAATCGGTTGATAACATTTAAGATAGGTGATTTTTTATTTTCATTTACAGACTTCACCTTTCAATATGTTGTAGAAGATATACAGTATCATATATTTAATATGCTGATATAGCCTTTAAAATAAATACTTTTAGTATAAAGCACCACTGTGCAGTACAGTACTGCCTTACAGAGCCATTATGATTGCTGAAGACTGAGAACCCCCCCAAGTGCATAAAACCAAACTTTTAGGAGTTTGCCGTTGTTCCTTTTTAATTTAAGAAATGTTCAGGCTTGAACTCATCAGTGGGGTGGACTGCCAACTTTTGAATCCATCAGTTCTATCATTTGCTTATTGTGTTATCCTTGCGCCTGACTGGTTTTGTCTCTTGTTTCAGTGAACATCAGGGAGCAACAGAAGTACAAGAGCCACACAAACCAAGATCTGTCTGCTGGAATGTTCACGATGCTCAACAATGAAATGAAGACCTAAAGCCAGATAACCCATGTTTGACCCACCGAACACAGACTGAAGAGTTGCAGACACCAGTGTTGTGTGCGTTGCTGGCCCTGTGTGTGTGTGTGTTTACACACTGTGCTGAGATTAAAGCACTGTGGAGTCGGGAACTTATGTTCAAGAGCATGGTCCAACTGTCCACCTCAGCCTACCTGCTGGGAGGCCTTTTGGGTAAGACACATATCTCATTGTTTGTGTGTGTGTGTGTGTGTGTGTGTGTGTGTGTGTGTGTGTGTGTGTGTGTGTGTGTGTGTGTGTGTGTGTGTGTGTGTGTGTGTGTGTGTGTGTGTGTGTGTGTGTGTGTGTGTGTGTGTGTGTGTGTGTGTGTGTGTGTGTGTGTGTGTGTGTGTGTGTGTGTGTGTTTGTATGTGCAGTGGCCCATGCCACCATAATTGGCACTAAGCTGTTTTTTTGTTTGGTTCCCTGTGTAAAAAATGTATGTGTATGTATCGGTGCGATACATCGTTTGCAGAAGCTGATTTCTTTCAAGACTTTAGGGTAGTTTTTTCAGTTTTCCAGTTCAAGGGTCTAAAGGGTCTTAAATATAATGTATTTATAGCTAGTACTGTTGCAGTCTGGTCAGTGACCCAAACAGACTATTCCTAAATGTGTTTTGGCAGCAGTTGATACCATTGTTGCATAAAGTCAAACACTGGTAGTTTGAGAACTTTGTGGCATAGCCATTTGACAATGTCCCTATATGCCGTGAAAGCAACATTTTTCTACTGTACAATATGCTTATTTTTAGGTTGACCAACGTATGAGAATAGCAGGTTGCTTTTAAGAGAGGCTGCTTGTTTCGCCATCATGTAGATATTATATAACAAATCCATGTATTGGTACAAAAATACAATTGTGGACATTATCGATTAATCTGCTGATTATTTTTACATGAATCAATTCATCCTTACGTTAAGTATTAAACATGAGAGACTTGTTGGCATTTCTGAATAAGACAAATTACACTTCATTGCAAATTGAATCAAACTACGTCTATTTTAATATAAGTAGCTATTGTAAAACAGAGAGTCGGCTCAGATATTGGAACCCCACAAGGCTGGGCTCCCCTTATAACAAATCCTCACTCTAAATGATTTCCCATGGGAAGTTCAAAAGGTTTCACTCACAGGGGTCTATCACTGAAGTGTACGATGACTCAACACAAACCTTATGCAACCCTAAAGAAAATCAAGGCACTTATTCAAGGTACAAAATATAATAATAATGAAATGATTAGGTATTACATTTTATTTTACACATGTTTCATCACTATTTATCTATCATTACAGGTATGTCTTATGCTGCAGCCACACGAGAACTGTAACGGTCGTATCCGCTACAGTTCTCTATCATATAGACGGTTCGGCCACACAAGGCCGACATGGAAACGCAGAAAACGATAACGATAACGAGAGATTACGTATGGTAACCCTTGTTATATAAGCACAGGCGGAGCCCTCTACTGGACTCTATGGGTACTACCCCTTGATCATATCATGCAAGCATTCATCCACTGAGACTTCTATAAATGTAGCCGGCCCCGGGGCAGGCCTACCTGAATGCGCGCGCATCTCACCGTATAAAAGGAGGCCTCGCCTCCTGACTGTCATCCTACACCTCTCTTCAGCGAGCAGCATAGGACAGACAGTGCCCCGAGTAGAGGGATCCGCCTGTGCTTATATAACAAGGGTTACCATACGTAACCCCTTGTTGTATCTCTCACAGGCTCTGCCCTCTACTGGACTCTATGGGTACAGTGGGCGGAGCCCCGATGTATACACGCGCTGTCGTCCAACAACACCGTTCCATCCCACTGCCCCTGACCGGCTTTCTGGTTAGCAGCCGCTGCACCGCACCCTCCTTTACCTCGGTTGTGACCGTGGAGAAGTCTGGGCCGCGGCTGACAGAGCACACTCCGACGCGCTTACCTCGCGAAAAGTGTGCTCAGAAAACAGTGCTGAGGGTTCCCCCCCTCCGCCCATAGGCAGACGGAGAGAGTCCCCAGCCCTGTATGGGCTCACTGTGCACCACCTCTCCCGAGTCTCTAAGTAGCACGGGGAGAGCGCAAGTGCCCCATGTCCCCCACACTCAGACACTGACCCCGTGCAGAGTGTGTGTGGACTATAGTGTGGAGGGCTCTCCCATTCTGCCCCTAGGCAGGCGAGGAGAGCCCTCCAGCCCCGTATGGGCCCATTGCGCACTACGCCCCCCCGGGACCCTCCAGAGGGCCCGGAAAAAAATTAGGCGCATTACGCCCGGGGAGGGGGTCAGATGCCCACTGACCCACAGCCCCCCCCCCCCCCCCCCCCCCCCCCCCCCTCCTCACCAGTCCTGTGTTGCCCCAGCAAGCACAGACGATGAGAAAGAGCCAGACATGTCCAAGAGATAAAACCTTATGAGGGGGCCTTGACCAAGACGCCGCCGTGCATATGTCCTCTACACTCACGCCGTTGAATAAGGCTGTTGACACAGCCACAGCCCGTGTAGAGTGTGCACGGATCCCAGGCGCTTATTGGACAGAGCTTTCCCGGTCACCCCGCCCCCAAAGCACACAAACAGCTGTTCAGTGCGTCTAAGGGCAGCCGTGAGCTCCACATAACATGCTAGCGCACGCACCGTGCAGAGGAGGTGCAATTTAGCTTCCCTGGCCCCACCATGGGGTGGAAGACTAAAGCCCCCTAACTGAATAGCCCTCAACCTGAACGCACTCCTTAGGCTCTTGGGCACAAAGGAGGGGTTCGGCCTGAGTGTCACCCCGCTCTGGTCACCCCGGACCAACAAGCAACTCGGGTGCACCGATAGAGCGGTTAACTCGGACACTCTTTTGGCTGACGTTAAGGCAAGTAGCAATGCTGTCTTCCACGGCAGTGCTTTCAGGCAAGAGAGCTCCAGAGGCTCAAATGGTTCTGTGACCAAAGCCTCGAGCACCAACGGTAGGTCCCACTGCAGGGCGGAGGCGTGCACTACAGGGCGCAGCCTCCTGACCCCCTGTAAAAACCGCAACATCAGTGGCTGACTAAAGGCTGACCTGCCGTCAAATCCCTCATGGCAGGACGAGATGGCTGCTGCATACACTTTCACTGTGGAATGAGCAAGCCCTCTGTCCACCAGTAACTGTAAGTAGGACAAAATAGAACCCAACTCACAAGATAGGGGCTCTATTCTCCGCTCCTCAGACCATCGCTGGAATCCCAGCCACTTCGGCCTGTAACAGGCTGTGGTGGATCCCGCTCTAGCTGCCTGGATAGACTGAATAACTCTGTCAGACAATCCACCCTGTCTCAGCCTGTCCCTCTCAGGAGCCAAGCCTGAAGAGGTTGGCCCAGAGTGGGTAACGCCCCGATTGCACCTGCCTCTTGAGACATCGCCCCCCAGAACTGGGGAATCGCTCAGGGCTTCATCCGTCTCATCTCTGAGTACCACGGCGCCCCGACGCGGTCCGGAGCCACTAGGATGACTGACAGACGTTCTCGCCTCACTCTCCCCAGGAGAGGGAGAATGAGACGCAGCGGTGGAAAGGCGTAGAGCAGCTTTCTTGGCCATGGCTCGTGTGCGAAGGCGTCCACCCCCAAGGGCGGATCGTCGCTCAGAGCCATGGAGAACCACAGGGCACAGTGGCTGTTGCGCCGGCTGGCGAACAGGTCCACCTCTGCTCTTCCGAACTGGGCCCAGACCTGCTTCACCACCTGCGGGTGAAGCGCCCACTCGCCTGGCAGGGGGCCGCCCCTCGACATGAGGTCGGCCCCCCTGTTCTCCTGTCCCGGGATGGAGGGAGATAGCACCACCTCTGAAGCCCATAACCACAATTTCTCCGCTGTGGTCAACAAGGTGGCGGAGCGGACTCCGCCCTGCCTGTTGATATAAGCCACTGTGGTGCTGTTGTCGCTCCTGACCAGTACATGTCTCCCCTGAATTAGGAGTTTGAAATGCTGGAGGACCAACACTACTGCCCGCAGCTCTAGGAGGTTGCTGTGCCGTGTTTCTGTTAGAGACCAGCGCCCACCTATAGCTCTCTTCAGGCAGGTCCGTCCCCATCCTGTTCTGGATGCGTCTGTGAACACTGTGATGTAGGAGGTCACCCGTCCCAGTTGAGACCCCCTCCGAAGGTGATCCGTGGACCCCCAGAACCGGAGGTTGCCCTCCACTGAGGGGGGGATGGTCACCAGACGTCGTTTGTGCCTCTTGGGATCTAAACGCAGGCTGGAGAACCACCTCTGCAGGCGGCGCATATGCAGTAACCCGAGCGGGACCACAACGTGAGCAGCCGCCATGAGACCCAGTCAGCAGCTAGTCAAAGCTATCACTGTTGCCCCCTGTCGCAGCCTGCGAACCGCCCGAAGCAGGGACGCACGTCTGCTCTCTGACAGGGTGGTGTGCAGCGCGCCTGCATCGAGCACCACTCCCAAATACAATGCCTGTTGGTGAGGTACGGGGGTGCTCTTTTTCCAATTGATCGTAAAGCCCAACTTGGTTTGGTGTAGGATCAATCGTGCTGTGCAAAACATTGCCCGTTCCCTGGACCTGGCCATGACTATGAGGTCGTCCAGATAAAAGAAAAACTCTCATGCCATGGGCACGCAGCGGCTGGAGCGCTGTGGCCACACATTTGCTGAACCTGCGTGGGGATAGGGAGTAGCCGAACGGTAATCTGTTGTACTCGTAGGCTGTCCCCTTACAAAACGCAGATACTTTCTGTGCTCTGGAGCAATTTCTACATGAAAGTACGCGTCTTTCAGGTCGATGGTGGTGAACCAATCGCCCGGCTGCACTAGCCCCAGTAATTGTTTTATAGTTAACATGCAGAATTTTCTGCAGGCAATGTGCCGATTCAGGCTGCGGAGATCTAGAATAGGTCTGAATTCCCCTGTCTTCCTGAAAACCAGGAAGTACATGGAATAAAGACCCTTTTCTCTGTGCTGAGGGTGCACAACAGACACCGCCTGTTTTTGCACCAGGGCCTGAATCTCTGCAGAGAGGAAACCGATCTCCTCCTGGGATGTTAGATTTACCTCTCGTATGCCTTTGAATGGAGGCGGGATGCTGCAAAACTGGAGTGAATAACCCTGCTTCAGCGTCCTGTCCATCCACTTTGTTAACACACAGCTGAGTTTCCATTCCCCATAACACTGTGTTAGGGGCGGGGCCCCAGCTATAAAGCTGTGGTACTCTCT